ATCCCTAAATTACTAGATCATTCTGCAGCACTTGAAGTACCTATCAAGTCTTCCTGAAATCTACTGCATCTCCCTGTGTATCATTCCCTAATGATCCTCCTTTTGTGTCTCTCATCTTTGGGGGTTCTTCCTAATCCATCTCCAAGATCTATCTTTTACCCGCTTTTCTCCCTCTTTTGCTGATGTTCTCCTTCTACACTCAATGTCCTGGGTGAATTCATCCAGTGTTGTAAAATGAAAAAAGTTTGACCTTAAAATTAGAAAATCCTCACCTCACATTCCAGCTTTTGTTTTTATCAGCTTTGTGAACCTTGAACTGGTTGCTTAACCTTTCTGAGCTTATATCTTCATTTATAAAGCAGAGTAGATACTTCATAAAGTTGTGAGTATGATCACAATTGCCTCTCTATTCCAAAGGCAGGTATTAGCCCCTTTCCCCTTCTATGACTTCAGCTAGTGTTGGCATCTTCAGCCCTTACCTTCCTACTGTTCTTCAAATCTTTATTTCTAGATTGCCATCAGATACTCTATTTTGAGTCTTATACATACAACACCTACCAATGGAGATAGATTTATATCAAGTTCCCTTCTAGGTGTTAGAGATTAAATGATAATCAGCTCGTGAAGGGCTTAAAGTCTGACCGAAAACATTTATATGCAGTGTTTTAGGAATTAGAAGGTGCAAGTCTTAATTGAGCCTAAGAGTTAGGGAAGGCTTTCTGGAAATGTCATGACCTAAGCCTTACAGGATGAATGTAGTGTTAGTGTCATCATGAGTGAAAACGATTCTGCAAAAGAGCATAAGCAAGAGCACTGAGGTGATGAGACTGGTTCTGAATTCCTAGGAACTTAAAGGTGAGAAGGGTAATACTGACAGATGTGGCTACAATGAAAGGCCAAAGCTTGATTTTTTATCCTTTACTCTAAAAGGAGTAGATGATACAATTAGCTTTGAAAAAATTAAGAGAAGTTTCTTAGAAGAAACACAATGAATACATCCTTGAAAAGATATTCAACCTTGTTACTAGTAAAAAAAAAAAATGCAAATTAAGGTCATTGTGAAGTAGCATTTTTAAAATTTATTTACTTATAATTTTGCAGTTCTAAGCAAGGAAACTAAGCCTTCCCACATGCTAGGCAGATCTTCTGCAACTGAGTTACATTTAAAATGTATTTGTGTGTGTGTGTGTGTGTGTGTGTGTGTGTGTGTAGGGAATTGAACTTGACCTCACACTTACCAGGTAGGTGCTACACCACTGAAGTCTCTGTTCCTAGCCCAACCTTTTTAATTTTGAGCCAAGATCTCTCTAAATTTTTCAAGTTGGTCTCAAGCTTGCAATCTTCCCATTTCAGACTGCTGAATAGCTGGGATTGTATGTATATGACACCATGTGCACTTAAATAGTATTTTATGTCCCCTAGTTTGGTAGAATTTAAGAAATTCAATAATCTAGTTGTTAGTAATAATCTAATTGTTATTGCAGAATCCACACTAGACCAGTCATTTTAGTTTCTCCATTGTCACAGTTTTCAAATACCTTCTTTGAAATTTCAGATGTGTTTGTGTATTCCAATGTGTTAACTACAAATCTTATGTCAAAACTAACAAAAAAAAAAAAATACTATGGATATGATCTAACCATTGGAAAACAACAATAAAAAAGAACAAGCAAAACACTTTGCATACAAGAATTTAATCTCATATTTTCCAACAACTAAAAAATGCTGATACATTCTTGAGTTTGACAGTTGAATTCCATGTGCTGTGAAGCTGGTGTATTTTACTAGTGAAGGAACCTAGCTAACCATGTGATAGCCATATTCACAAATATAAAATTTATAGAAAGGTCTTAAGATGTATCCTTCCCAACCTCTAAGATCCTTCTACCCCTCTGGAAGATTTATATGCCACTTTTTATGATAATCACACATTTTAAAATTATATAAGATGTTTTTCTCTAGGAACAAGGTCCTTTGCATTGGGAATAATAAATGTAAAATATTTTTAAGTGAGGACATGTTAATGGCTCATAATTAGACAACTGGAATAAAATCCAATTG